TTTTTAATAATTATTAATTAAAAATTAAATGTACATTCAAAAATTTAACTAATTCCAAAAGAATTTGAATTAAAATTATTCAAAAAATTAAGTTTTTGTAAAATTTCTAATTAAATTCATTCAAAATTGAAATTCTCAAATTAAAACCATTTGAAGTTTATTTATTTATGAAAATTGCAAACGCCACTCTTTTAAAATTCAAACGAGTTTACGAGGCAAACAAAAAATGGGCCAAAATTAAAAATTTTTCTTATGAATTCTAAAAATTTAATTTTTTTCCAGTACTTTTAATAAAAATCCCCAACTTTTCCCTGATTTCCCAGACCTTTGGCAACCCTGATAAATGAAAAAATTAGTAATTTAAGGAGAAAATGAATAAATGGAAGAAAAAAATAAATAAAAGGAAAAATTAATGAGTGTAAGGAAAAATTAAAAAATAGAGGATAAATGAATAAAAGAAAGGAAAAATCAATAAATAAAAGGAAAAATGAACCAAAAAAATGGAAAATGTGTAAATGAAAGAAAAATAATAAATAAAATGAAAAATAAATAAATAAAAGGAAAAATGAATAAATAAAAGGAAGAATAAATAAATAAAAGGAAGAATAAATAAATAAAAGGATAAATGAATAAATGAAAAGAAAAAAGAATAAGTGAAAGGAAAAATCAAAAAGTAAAAGGAAAAATAAATAAATAAAAGGAAAAATAAATGCAAAAATGAATAAATAAAAGGAAAAAAAGACTAAATACAAGGAAATAAAAATGAAAAAAGAAAAAGAAAAATAAATCAATAAATAAATTCTTAAAAAATACCTCCCTTAAACAAATATTATAACAAAGAAAAGCATTGAACAAGAAACAAACCTGAAGAAACTTTGTCACATCATTGACAACATTTCTGAATATATAATCATCTTTATCTGAATCAAACCATCCTAATTTTGATATCCGTGCAAAAAGAGTGACCAACGCTTGTATTACAAAATTTGGCAACTTTGGCTGCGTTGCTAGATAATTTAAAACATAGTTTCCTGTTTGCAAAAATAAAACAATGCAACAATTAGATAACATCAATTTATACAAATTTTTCCTAATTTTTCAAAAAATACTTTTTTATTTCCCAAATCACGTTATTTTTTAACAATATACTGGAAGCAATAAGCCTTTAAAAATATAAAAAAATAAAACTTACTTATATCAAGTCTTTGTTGTAGACTGAGTCCTAAAGCGGACCTTGAAACCAATTTTGTCAAGGTGGTAGCTGCCAATAATTGGGCATAAGCCGAATCTCCGCGATCCAATAGTAACTGACATTTTGTGAGTGTATCAGGAGCATTTTGGAAACCAACAAGAGCTTTTTCAGCTTCAGCACGATGCGCCGAGTCTTGAGACTCATAAAGCTGCTTACAAAGTAATTCTAATTGTCGTACTTCCTGTATGTGATCCATTTTTAATGGAACGATTTAGGCTCTTAATTTTTTAATGCAAAATCGATCAACACGAGGATTTATTTTCATTGTCATCAATTTTTACAATTTCCAAATAAACATCGCAGCTGTATTATAGACTTGACATTTATGAATTCCTCAGCTGAAAATCATTCTTAATTAGCTCGAAATCATTCTAATTATTGTAATAATAAAATTATCGGGATTAAAAATAAGTAAAATTACACTCAACAATTATTTGTTACAAAAGAAAAACATAGAAAATAATTAACTAAAATTTAACTTATTTAATTTATAATTCAATTTTTAATTGTAAAGATATATTTTTATCAATCAACTGATAACATTTCAATCAACACTAATGGAATCAGTATTTAATCTTTTGAAAGCAAACGATGTATCGGAGCAAAGAGGTTATAAACACTTGGACGAATAAAAATCTATCAACTCGAAATAATAATCACCTACAAAAGTGCATTGCTGAACAAAAAAGCAAAATAGAGACAAATTATTTATAAAAAATTGAGATTATTCCTCTAGCATGCAAGACGAAATATATAACTTTTTCTAAAATTTATTTTCCGCAGTAAATTTCAATTAAAATTAATCACTAACTCCTGTACTAATAAACTGATAAATAAACAAAAATTTATATCATATCACAGTGCTTGTGAAATTATAACTGTTTCAGTGAGCAAATATAAAAAAAATGATCACGCGTATAAATTTTATCGAAAGGGAAAATATACCGATCCGGCAGTTGTCTACACGTTGTCTATTATCGGCTTCTGTGTGTATTGTGTGTATGGGAATTTATCAAAACGAACCAAAGAAAATGTTCACGACCAAAACAAATTTCTATCAATATTCCACACAATATTCTCATCTCCAATTAAATTACTCCATTTACCAATATCACTTCAAATTAAATATTTTAATTCAGAATGTTGTGACTGACATTGCGTCTAAGCAAGTCTCGTTAAAACATGTATACCTATATGAGAATCAACACACAGTGTTTAACAATCAACACTTGCTCTCAAAGACCGTTGAAAAAAATCTACACCATGTACATTAAATCATTTAAATCGTAACATTCAATGAAGAATTAATCTCCGATTTTTCAATGACATTAAAACTGATAATTTTCCCGTCACTATTTAATCATTAAACTGCATACGTGATTTTATTTTGATTTAGAAACTCACCTGCTTCACCGCCATTTCGCAGCTTTCACAACATGAACTAGAGGAACAGAAGAAGAGAACAACAACGCCATTTGCTTTTTATTTCTTTTGTTATCATCACATTACAGCCAACCAATCGGCAAATATTCGCGCAACTGCAAAAACAACAACAGCCATTGGTCAGTGATTACGCGCCAAATTTCAAATTTGTTTTTGCAAATTTAACTCTGACAATAATTATTTATTTATTAATGTTGACATTTGAATAAACTATCGAATTAGTCGTAGGTAAACTATAAAGTTTCTTTGGAAAAATAAACTTCTATTATCTTTTATCGGAATTTTAATAATAAGTCTTTTACCGACTGAGTAATACTGCCCTTGAATTATTTTACAATTGCGTATTCAATTCATTCAAGCGTATTTAATTCATTCTAATGATTCTAATCAAATCAATCAAATAGATCAAATATAAGTAAATTAAGTAAATAAATAAACAAGAATTAAATAAGCAAAAACGGTTAAATTAGAAAAGAGTACAATTAGTAAATATTAAATTTTGTTTTGAAATAAGTAAACATTAAAAAAATTGCCTATAAAAATCTTATTAATTAAAGAAAGAAGGGACCTATCGCGACACGAAATTTAAGGTTATGTTTATAATCCTTTTTTCCTTAAATGCCTTGAATTAAACATTTTTATTATTTTACAGAACCAAAAGTAATTCTAACTGAATATTTTATGTATTTAAATAACATTATTATGGAAATTACGAAATTTTTTATTTTCAAATATAAATTTTTAAATAATTTCATAATCAAAATTTAAAAAATTCAATTATTAAGTACAAAATTAATTATTGTTGTTCATATTTGCAAAAATTCTAATATAAAGTTTTCGCAAAAATTAAATCATTTTTTTATATATAATAATATTCTTCGGAAGAATTCAAATTGAATTTTAATTTAAAATTTTAATAAAATTTCGCGACAGAATTCAATTATTTTTTTTTAATTTTAATAAATCCTTGAAAACAATTTAATAATTATTATAAATAGTAAAACTCTTTGTAGGATTTCAATTATTTTCAAAAAAATTTTACTTGAATTTTTCGGAAGAAATCAATTTAAAAAAAAAAATTTAATACATTTCGAATAAATTCAATTATTTTCTAAAATTTTCATAAATCCTTCGAAGTAATTCAATTATTTTTATAAATAATAAAATTCTTCGCAAAAATTCAATTATTTTTGTAAATAGTAAAATTTTTTGCAGGAATTCAATTATTTACAAAACAATTTTAATTGAATTCCTCGGATGAATTCAAATATTTAAATAAAATTACACGAAAGAATTTAATTACATATTTTCAAAAATTTCCATAAAATTCAATTTTTACAAGAATTTTAAATTCTTTAAAAAAAAATTGAAAGAATTCAATTATTTTCAAAAAATAATATAATTCTTCTGATGAATTCAATTATTTTGAATATTTAATTTTAATAAAATTCTTATAAAGAAATTCAATTGTTTTCGAAACAATTTTAATTGAATTTCTCGAAAAAATTTCATTATTTTCAAATATTTCTATAAAATTCTTCACAACAATTTTATTATTTCCCAAAATTTTAATAAATTCTTCGAAACATTTCAATTATTTTTATAAATAATAAAATCCTTTGCAGAAATTCAATTCTTTTCAAAACAATTTTAATAGAATTCCTCGAATGAATTTAAATTTTCAAATATTTACATAAAATTAATTTATTTTCTAAAATATTAATAAATTCTTCGGAACAATTCAATTATTCTTATAAATAGTAAAATTCCTTGCAAGAATTCAATTATTTTCAATACAATAATTGTATTGAAAATAATTGAATTCTTGCAAGGAAATTATTTTAATAAAATTATTCTTTATAAAATTCAATTGTTTTCAAAATTTTCAATTAAAATTATTAAAAAAAAACTCCATTAGTTTAAAAAGAATTCAAAGAAATTTTTCAAAAGAATTTAATTAGAATTTTTAAAAATTGTAATAAAATTCTTCGCGAGAATTCAGTTATTTTCCTAAATAATAAAATTCTTCAAAGGAATTCTATTATCAAATTTTTTGATAAAATTCTTTGCAACAATTCAATGATTTTCAATACCTACATTAATTTTAAAATCGAAAATATTTGAAAAAAAAAATTATAAAAAAAGTTGAGAAACAAAAAAGCAAACAACTACTAACTTCAAACTGCGAACAAATTACGGAAATACAACGATTATTAATATTTTTTAATAAAATCCAATTATTCGTATGAAGTGTAGAACAATTAAATAACAAATAATGAAATAACAACAAAAAAGTAACAAATTATTTGGAATTCACTTATGTCATTTCTATATTTTAAAGAGTACATATTATCTTATGTCTATGAACCTCTATCACTCAAAAACATTCATTTATTTATTTTCCATTCACATTTCAAGTTAAAGATGTAAATAATTAGCAGTATTTATGTAATACCTCAGTTTGTGCCATTGGCACGAGTGTCATGAATAAATCGCTACTTTCGGATTAAAAACACAAGTTGCTTACACGAATATCACTGACACATACATTTAATTTATCATTTTCTTTTTTTTTTTGTTTGTCTAAAATTTTGAAATCGTTCATACTTTCAGTTTGCAGAACGATAAATTATTCATAACTGGCGTTAATTAATCAGAACAATGAAGAAAAAAAAATTAACATCAGCAGCGTCATTCGATAAAGGACAAGTAAAGAGAGTTGCAAATTTTCTTTTTTTACACATCAAATTTGAAAATTTCATTTAGGCTGCTACAATAGAAAAAAATAATGTGCGGAAAAATGTGTAATTTGTAGTGTAATGTGTATTGTTTTTGGCATTGCCAACTGTCCGGGTCAATTACACTATACATTACACAATTTTCTACACATTATTTTTTCTATTGTAGACGCAGCCTAAAAAAACAAAAATTTAAATTTGCACACTCTTTGATTACTTTACATAGCCTCGAAAAAACTGATTACTCTTATTGTAATAATTCATAATGCTCTTCGTCGATTATGTTTACATTTCTTTTTTTCAAGCCCTAAGATGCATCATCTCTACACATTTTTTCTTTAAAATATATATACAATATACAAATTAGATTATAATTTATAATTTTTTTTTTGTTTAAAAAATAAATAATTCAATTAAATGAAAAAAAAAATTAAAATCCAAAAAAGATTTAGTGGCGAATTGTTTTTTTTTTAAAGAATATTTTAACTACTATTAAAATGTATGTATTATAGATAAATAACAGTTTCACTATATATGTAAAATATTAAATTTCAAAATGATTATTATCAATTAAATGTTTAAGCTATTTACAAAATTGACAAACAAAGAGCATGTCTCTCCTATGTTCAGCGTTTGTTTAACAAGGCTGTGCAAAAGTATTATATATATATAATTTTTTTCAATGTAATTAAAATTTCCGAAAATTCGCGACCAACATAGTGAAATTCAACATTTAAACAATTAGCGCACATGACAAATTTAGTCTTTTTGTCAAAGAAACAATTGATTTTGCCTAGAATCAATACACAGATACATAATAAACTAATTGCAATGCTTCCATGCATTAAAAGTTTTTTGTTTTTTTTTCCCACTCACACTGAAAATAAGTACTCCAAACGAACGACACTTTTTTTCACGATGTTTCTTACTATAAATTAATTACATAAAAAATCTTTAATTTACTATTATACATCTAAAATCTTATTTAAGTGTAACCAGCCTCCCTAAAAACGTTCCCATTTTTTTTTTTGTTTTGTTTTCTTTTTGTTGCGTAATTTTAAGTCTTTTTTTTTCTTAATAGGAAAATGGTCAGCTCCTATTGTGTCATAGGTTGCAGAAGAATTCCAGTATAATGGCCAAAGCGAAATGTCAACAGTCTACATCCATGGGATGTACTTAATATGTATTTTCACTATATTGTCCATTATCAGGCTGTTTCTCTCTTTTATTGGCGTGCCTGCGCTCGAAAGAATTTTCTTTTTTTTTCGTAACTTCGTCAAAAATATTTTACAGTCCTGTAATTACTTCTTTTGCTTTTCAGGGCAAACGAAAGATGTTGTTTGTCAAAAGTCGTGTTAAACAGTCCGGTTTTTGTTTATTTTGCTTTTCAAGGCAAATAAAAAATAATTACAGTCGTCAGTCAAGTGTTTTTTTCTTCTTCTTCTTCTTCTTTTTCTTCTCTACATTGTGCCTGATTTAATAAAGTTCACAATAGTCACTGGTTCTTCGTCCTCTGTACACATTTTGGTGAACATGTTCGATTCACTCACTAACCAGTTGTCTGAAATGAACAAAGAGGAAAAGAGATTAAATATTTTATCTTAATTGATAAATTGAAGCTATTATTTAATAATTCTATTTATTATTAATTCAGGCCTTGGATTGACTTTAAGAAGCAAAAAAAAGTTTGAGACGATTCAAAGTATGAAAAAAATTGAAAAAGTCGATTATTTTATTCTGAATGTCCAGGAAAGTTCTCACATACTTTGTAGACAAAGAATTTATTTCCCTCTTTTTCTTATTCTAACAATAACATTAATTCTAAACTTTTGTAAAATTCAAATATTTTTCACACTTTCCATCACAAACACGATTATTTTCAAAAAAAATTGTAATAAAATTCTTCAGAATATAAAATTTATTTCAATAGGTAAATGAAATGAATAAATGAACGAAATTTTCAATTGTTTGACAATTTTTCAATTAATTAATTTCGGGAATTCAATTATCTTCATAAAAAAAATTAATTAAAACTACTCAAAAATCTAATTTTTCATAATTTTTTAATTCAATGATTCAAAACTTTCACAATCTTGTTAAATAAATATTTAAATACTAACTTCTTGATATTTATTTTTCCACAGAAATTGAAATTTGTTAAAATCTTAATTTCAAACCTTCTGAAATTTTATTACTTCTAAAAATTGTAACTGTAATTCATTCGAGATTTAATTATTTTCTAGAATTTTTAACTAAAATTATTCTGAAGCTTAAAAAGTTTTTCAAATAAATATCTTAATATTATTAAACTTTGTCATCAATTGAAATGTTCAAAAGTTTTTAAGTTGAATCTTTCTGAAATTTAATTATTTTTTAAAAATTGCTACTGTAACTATTTTCCAAAATTCAAGTACTTTTTTAGGATTTTTACTAAAATTTCTTCTAAATAAATTATTTTGTAATAATTTCAAGAAAGTTCTTGCAGAATTCAATTATTCAGAAAAAAACAAATTTTACCTAAAAATTAAAATAATTTAAAATTCAATTGAAAACAATTGAATTTTGCGTAATTGTGATTAATTTCCAAAAAATTAGAATTCAAATTTTTCGAAGAACTAAGTTTTTTTTAGAATTTTTGTAATTAAAATTATTCAAAATTCAAACAAAAAATTTCAATCTTGGTAAAATCATTTGAAATTCTATTATTTCCAAAAGAAACTGTAATTCTTTCGACATTTAAGTATTTTCTAGAATTTTGACTAAGAGTCTTTTAAAGTTTATTAAGTTTTTTAAATGATTATTTAAATATTATTGAAACCTTCTGAAATTTAATTATTTCTAAAAATTGCTATTGTAACTATTTTCTAAAATTCAATTATTTTTTTTAGGTTTTTAAACTAAAATTTCTTCTAAATTAATTATTTTTTTAATGATTTGAAGAAGAAGATCTCTTCAAAAATACAATAACTATTCAAAAAACTAAGTTCATTTAAAAATTAAAATAGTTTAAAATTCAATGGCTTTCAATTGAATTTGATGAAATTATCGATATTTGACAATTTTTGAAATAAATATATTCAAAAATTCCAAAAAAATTACTAAAATTTAATTAATTTCAAAAACAAATTTGAATTAAAATTTTTTGAATAATAAGTTATTTAAGATCTCAAAAAATAAGTTATTTAGAATTTTTCTAATTAAAATTATTCAAAACTCTAAACTTCAAAAATTTCAATTTAAAACCTTCCGAAATTTAATTATTTACAAAAATTTCGACTTACACTCTTTCAGTATTCAATTATTTTCTAGAATTTTTAACACAAACATTTTTTTCAAAATCAATTATTTTTCATAATTTTCAGAAGAATTAAGAATGTAATTAAAAAAAACTACTTCAAAAATTGAATTAATAAAAAAAGTTCACATAAAATCCATAAAATAGAATTCAAAATTCAATTCTTTTCAATTCAATTTTACGAAATTTTGATAATTCGAACAACTTGTAGAAAAAATGTAAGACACTTTAAAGGAAAAGATTTGATTTTAGTTATTTTTCACTCTTTGAAAATCAAGTTAATTGTCATTTTATAACAATATTTCTATTTATTTTCCTAATTTATTTTCTCCTAATTTGTGAAAACAAAATCGAAACTGTCGCATTTTATTAAAATCAGTCGAAAAAATTGCAATTTTAAAAAAAAGGTCGACAAAATATCTAAAAACACATATTATTCAAGGCCTGTTAATTCCATTATTAAATAAAATAAATAATCTTCTGAATAATTTAACCGAAAATTGTACTCACATTTATATCACAATGAAAATAAAACATTGAGTTGAAACGTCACTCGAATGCTGCTGGTAGAAGAAAAGAGAAAAAATCAAGTTAAAACAAATATTAAATATGTAACGCGTCACGACGCATCACAAATACACAGAAAGTTTGAACAAAACCAAAGAGTAAAATATACTCACGAGAGGGAGATCTAATGTCGGAAAGATTAAGAGTGTCATTTGAAATAAGGGGCGCCGTGTCACTGTTTGATGAATTATCTTGATTGAAATTCAAGAAATCCCAGATGAGAATCGTGTCATCGTGAGAGGACGAGACAATCTGGAACTCGTCAAACTGAAGTCGAAATACGCGACCAGTGTGTTCCTGTCAAAAAAAGAGTCAGAAGAAAATGTTATTCTTTTAAAAAACAACAAAAAAAACTCTATTTTCAAAAGTATTAGAAAACTAATTTCAAAAAATAGCTTTGAGGGGATGTCAAACCATACGCGATTTTTATTTGGGGCTTCAATGGAAAAATCGCACCAAAGCTCGACGTCCACTTAAGAAAATAATTCAAATCTCAAAATTAATGGACAAAAAATAATTTACCAAATTTCAAAATTAAAGGACAAAAAATAAATTACCAAATTTCAAAATTAAAGGACAAGAAATAAATTACCACTAAAGTTCGAAGACATAACGTGCTAGCGACAGCTCTAGGATCCAGTGCAGCCACCAAATCCCAGACTTTAATTTTACTGTAAAAAAGAAAGCAAAGTATTAGTAATAGTAAAATTTATCAATTTATAAAAATAAGAAGAAGAAGAAGTTTTTTTAATAATTTCTAATTGAAAGAAAGAGACTGACCCATCGTATGCGCCACTGACAATGTGCTTGCTATCGAACCTAATACATCTAACGAGTTCCTCATGACCCTCGAGGACTCGCAAGCACGCACCACATTCAATGTCCCAAAGTCTAATGGTGTTATCACTGCTACCACTAACCACTAATCGATCTCTATACTGTAAACACGCTATTCCACGCTTATGTCCATTTAGCGTTCGAACAAATTCACATGTGGACGTATTCCACACTTTGATAGTCCTGTCACCACTTGCCGACACTATATATTTCTCGTCGAAATCCACAACGTTAACGGCTGCCCGATGACCAACCAATACACGTCTCAATGCGATCTCTGTCTGCGACGTCATGTCCCAAACCGCTATTGAACGATCCTGCAAAAAAGGACAACAATATTACAAAAAAAAAAAATCAAGAAACGTACAAAATAGTAAATATTCTCTTCAAAAATTCAAACAACTTCTCGTTTATGTATTTTTAATTATCTTCATTTTCAGCATTTTTCTAAATAATCGTAAAAATAGATGAAACAGTAAAATTTAAAAATTTAAAAAAACTTCTGTCTTCAAACGCCCCTAGAAAAATACACTTTAAAGTCAATATCACGGACTCCAGACTACGCACTCGATAATTAATTTTAAAATTGTAGCAAAAACTAGCTTTTAAACTAAAATAAACCTAGGTAGTAAAAAAGTAGCTATCGAAAAATTAAACTTGACGATAAAAAAACTCGTTTTAGACACTTCAAAAAACTGACAAAAATTCCATTCTATACTATATTGTCCTGACTTTTTTCTAATTTTCTAAAAAATATTTACTTCCTTCTTATCCTGTTAATAAATTGAATTTTCTTCAACGAATTTTATTATTCATGAAAAAATTTTAATGTTATAAAAATAATTTAATTCTTGCGAAGAATTAAATAAACATTTTTTTAAATAATTGATTTCATTCGACTAATTTTATGTAAATAATTTAAATAATTGAATTTCTGAGAAATTTTACTTATCCATGAAAAGAATTGAATTTTTACAAAGATTTTCATAAAAATTTTTTAAATAATTGCAATCTGTTTGGAAATTTTATGAAAATAGTAGATATTGAAAATAATTGAATTGTGAAAAGTTTTAAGAAATAATTAAATTTTACAAAGAATTATATTAAAATTTTTTAGAATAATTTAATGTCTGTGTGGGATTTTATTAGAATTTTTTTAAATAATTGTATTTCCAAGAAAACCATTTATTATTTTTAAAAATAATTGAATTCTTGTGATAAATATTGTAATTTTTGAAAATAAATGAAATTTGCAAAGAATTTTATTAAAATGCGTCAAAATAATTGAATTTTCGGAAATAATTTTGTTATTTATAGACGTAATTGAATTCTTTCAAAGGATTATTTATGTAAATAATTGAATTCTTGGGGAAAATTAAATTACAATCTAAAAGAATAATTGAATTATTCCAAAAAAGTTTAATTAAAATTGTATTAAAAATAATTGATTTCTTTCTAACAATTTAATAAAAAATTGAAAATAATTGAATTTCTGAGTGGTATTTTATTAAATTTTTTTGAAAATAATTAAATTCTTGCGAACGATTTTATTAGAATTTTTTTAAATAATTGAATTTCCAAGAAAAAATTTATTACTTTTAGAAATAATCGAATTCTTGTGACGAATATTGTTATTTATGAAAATAATTGAATTTCGCAAAGAATTTTATTAAAATGCCTCAAAAAATTGAATTTTTGTGAATAATTTTGTTATTTATCAATATAATTGAATTCTTTCCAAAAATTATTTCTGTAAAAAATTGAATTCTTTCCAAGAATTTGATTAAAATCTAACAGAATAATTGGATTATTTCAAAATAATTTACTTAAAATTGTATTTAAAATAATTGATTTCTTTCGAACCATTTTATTAAAATATTGGAAAATAATTGAATTTCTATGCAAAATTCTAATATTTTTGTAAATAATTGAATTCTTCCAAATTGTATTAAAAATAATTGAAATCCTGCGATGAATTTTATAATTTATAAAAATAATAGAATAGATGCAAAAATGTTTCAAAAATAATTGAATTCCTAAGAAGAATTTTATTATTTATGAAAATAATTGAATTATTCTGAAAAATTTTAATAAAATGTTTAAAAAGAATTGAATTTCTGTGAAAAATGTTGTTATTTTAGAAAATAATTGAATTCTTCATAGGAATTTTATAAACATTGTTTTAAATAATTAATTTTTTCGAAATGTAATAAATATTATGAAAATTTTATTTTAAATAATTGAATTCTTGTTGAAAACTTTATTTGCAAAAATAATTGAATTTTTCGATTAATTAATTTAAAATAGTTTTAAAAATAATTGAAATTTTTTTATGAGTTTTATTATTTATGAAAATAATTGAATTCTTGCTTAGAATTTTATGGAAAATTTTTTTAAAAAAATTGAATTTCCATGAAAAATGTTATTATTATTAGTGAAAGTAATTGAATTATTATAAAGAATTGTATAAAAATTTTGTTCAATAATTGATTTTTTCGAAATTTTTTTGAAAATGTTATTCTTAATTAATATTGAATTCTTGTGGAAATTTGATTATTTATAAAAATAATTGAATCTTGGATAAATTTTATCAATTTTTTTTTAAAATAATTGAATTCTTTTGCGAAATTTTATGAAAATACTAGATATTGAAAATAATTCAATTTCGAAATTTTTTTGAAAATAATTTAATCATTTTAAAGAATTTGATTATAATTTTTGAGAATAGTTTTTTGATTTCTATAGTATTAGCGAATTTAAAATAGTGGAAATTCTCAAAAAAACAGAAATAGTAGCTTTTAGTAGCTGAAATCTAAAAAAAGTATCCAAATACTAGCATAACGTAAAAAAAGTAGCAAATAGTAGATTTTAGTAGATGAGTACGAAGCCTGGTGTTCTCCTTAATACAAAAAAAAAATGTTCCTTTTTTCCCTCAAATAAAATAAGAAATTTTCTCATTAAAAAATTATATTATCTACACGAGAGAATCACAAAAGAAACAATTGTTTTCTTTAAAGAACAATTAAACTTATTTCGTTAAAATTCACATAAAAAGAAGAAAATAAAATAGTCTTTCTTCCAAGAGTTCCTCCAAGATAGAAACACTTCTCAGAAGAGAGTCTATTTTTCCTCCTCGACTAAAGAGAATAGAAAATAGAAAATAGAAATATGATAATGAAGTAGTAAAAGAATGACAAACCTTCGAGCACGTGACCATCATTCCATTGTTAAATCTAAGATGCAAAACAGCCTCGCAATGATGAATGAGCGTATTGACCATTTCACCAGTGTTTGCGTCCCAAACTCTAACGGTACTATCCGAAGAGCCAGAAATAATTGCTTTGTCGTCATATTGTAGGCACAAAACCGAGCCCGTATGTCCAGTGAGCACCTTAATGCACTGCAATGTATTTCTGTCCCATATTTTTATTGTATTGTCCCTAAGACCAGAAACAATTTTCTGATCGTCATATTGCAAACAATAGACTCCTTTCGAATTTTCACTACGGCAGTTTATTCGCTGAAGATTGTGACGTCCCATTCTCCAATTATTATCTATGCTATCTATATCTTTGACGATTTTTGGAAAAAGATTTCTATAAAAAGCATGGTTCGGATGGCTTTCACCTGGCCTTGGTTTAAACAAATATTGTATCCTGTAAATTCAAACAAACAATTTAATTAAATGGAGAAAAAAAGTATCAAGTGTGTTAATTTCACTAATATTAATTCTTGTGGTATTTAATTAATTTTAATGAATATTAAATTGCTGGTTGGGTATGAATAAAAATAGGGTATTTGCATTTTTCCTTTTCGTTTCAAATAACCGCGAAAGTTTTCAAACTGTTCAAAAGACTTTAAAAGCGAGTCTGAAATTCTGAATTTTGAATTTCAATTTTAATCCTGAATTTTGTATTCGTAGGTACGATTTGTGTCAAACTTTGTAAAATTGTCGTATTCAATTAGGCTATTTTAACGCACTGAAAGCAGGACTTTTCCATTCTCGGCTTCTAAAGCGAGAAGTACTGCTTTTAAACTGGGTAATATTTCAATTTGACGAATTACAATTATTACTCACTTTAAAAACGTCACATTTGCCGAGAATGGGAAAATCCTGAGTTAACGTAACCTAATTGAATACGGCAAATACAAAATTCAAGTGCATTAATCCCCCCAATACTTTTCATAACGTAGAAAATTAGGCTTGCAACAAAAATTTAATTTTGTTTTTCCCCTGACATTTACCTGATTTCCAGACAAAATTTTGACTTTTTCCCTGACCATAAAGAATATTCTCATTCACTCTCAAAATTAATAAATAAATAAATAAAAAAAAGTAAATAAATAAATATTTAATTATTTTTTTTCCGGAGGAATTAAAATTTTTCAAAACATCCAAATTTAAACCTTTTTGAAATTCAACAACTTATTAGAATATTATTATATTATAAAACATGAAGAAATCGATCACTCCGAGTCTTCGACTCGGAGTAATCCATTTCTTCATTTTTTATAATAATTAAAAATGACCGAATGATAAAATCATTATTTTATATTTTAAGAATATTGTTACTGTAACTTCTTCAAAACTATTTTCATCATTTCAATTTAATTATTATTTTCTGTAATTTTTAATTAAAATTCTTCTATAAATCAATTATTTTTAATAATTTTTGAAAAAGTTCTTTGAGAATTTTTAAATACATTTTTTTACAATTCAATTTTACGAAATTTCATCGTACTCGAAATTTCTTCAATTGTATATTAGAAAATAAAAACTTGAAATAATTTAAAAACATTCGATTAAACTTTAAAAAAAAAATTAATTCTACAAAATTGTTAGTTAAAAGTATAAAAAATTCAAATTTCTAAAAATTTTAATTTAAAACCTTTTCAAAATTCAATTATTTCTAAAAATTTATGCTTTTAATAATCAATTATCTAAAATTTTACGTGAAATTCATTTTTAAATAAATTTTTATTAAGAAAATCTACGAGATATTCATTATTTAAATACAAAAATAAATAATTTAATGAATACTTGAATGCTTCTTCAAATTGAATTCCCATAAAGAATTTTATCAACAAATTTTTAAATAATTGAATTCTTTTGACGAATTTTAATAAAATTTTTATGGAAAGTTTAGCAAGAAATTCGATTAAAATATCGTATTAAAAATAATTAAAATTCTACGACGAGTTTTATTATTTATGAAAATAATTGAATTTCTAAAAAAATTTTAATTTATAAAATAATTAAATGTTTGCGTAGAACTTTATTAAATTTTTTTTAAATAATTGAATTCTTTTAGAAAATTTTATTAAAATAGTAGATATTGAAAATCATTTAATTGAGGAAAATTTTTGAAAATAATTAAAATTTTACCAAGAATTTTATTAAAATTTTTGAAAATTCAATTTTACAAAATTTCAATTATTCGTAAATTTTTCAATTAAATATTAGAAAATAAAAACTTCAAATAATTTTTTAAAAATTCCGTAATTAAACTTTTTCAAGAAAATTAATTCCACAAAATTTGTTAGTTAAAAATATGGAAAATTCAGATTTTCAAAGATTTTAATTTGAAACCTTTTTAAAATCCAATTATTTCTAAAAAAAAATCACGCTCTAATGCTTTCAATATTTAATTATAATTTTAAATTTTAAACTGAAATCCATTTTTAAATAAATTTTCTAATCCTAAGCAAGAATTCAATTATTTTTACAAGTAATAAAATTTTTCACAAGAATTCAATTATTTTCAATATAATTTTAACTAAATCCTTCGAAAGAATTCAATGAATTTCAAAAGTTTTAATAAAATTCTTGGAAGAATTTAATTATTTTCATAAATGATACAATTTTTTTTTAGAATTATTCAATTACTTTCAATGCAATTTCAATAAAATTTCTGGAAAGAATTTAATTATTTCCAAAAGTTTTGATAAAATTCATTGTAAGAGTTCAATTATTCTCAGTGTAATTTCAATTAAATTTCTCCAAAGAATTTAATTTATTTTCAATATAATTTTAATTAAATTCTTGAAAAAAATGTGCAAGAATTCAATTATTTTCAAAATTCTAATAAAATTCTTCACAGGAATTGAATTATTACCAATATAATAATTTAAATATAATTTCTCGAAAGAATTAAATTATTTTCAATAATTTTAATAAAATTCTTAGCAAAATTTCAATTACTTTTAAAAATAAAGATTTTTATCAATAAAATTTTAAATAATTAAGTTCTTACGGAATTCAATTAAAATTGTATTCAAAATAATTGAAATTTAGGGAGAAGTTCAATTATTTATAAAAATAATTGAATCACTGCGATAAAATTTATGAAAACTTTGTAAATAATTGAATTCCTGTAAAATTTTTAACATTTATGAAAATAATTGAATTTTTGCGTAAAATTTTATCAAACTTTTTTTTAAATAATTGTATGCTTTCGAAAAATTTTGTTAAAGTAGTAGATATTAAAAATCAATGATTTGAGGAACATTTTTGAAAATAATTACAATTTTTCCAAGAATTTTATTAAAATTTTTGATAATAATTGAATTTTGGATCTAAGTTTTTTAAAATTTCTAATTAAATTGATTCAAAATTTATATTTTCCAAAATTTTACATTGAAACCTTTTGAATTTCATTTATTTATGAAAATTGTAAACGCAACTCTTTTTAAATTTAATAAATTTTGAAATATTTAAGTAAAGTTATTCATTAAATACTAGTTTTAAGTAATTTTTAATAATATTAATTAGTTCTTTGAAGAACTATAATAAAGTTGAGAATAAAGTTATTGCTTAAAAATAATTAATTTAATTCTTAATTCTTGAGAATTAAGTTATTTAAAAAGAAATTATTGTCAGAAATAAAAATTGTTCTTTTGATTCTCCAAATTGTTCTTAATTCTTTAAATTGCTCTTTTGATTCTTTAAATTGTCCTTTTCATTCTCCAAATTATGATTTGATTTCCCCAAATTATTTCCCCAAAGAATAATTTCTCTTTCTAAAAAAGAAAAAAGAGTTTAAAAAATCTCTCAACATTGACGATCAGTTAACGATCTAAACATGCGACGTTCACGCATGAATAATTGCGGCAAATTTTTCAAAGAAATTTGTTTAAATACGTGAAAATTTACAACAGTTCCACTCTCAGATTGCAAATACCCCATGTATTATTATCTCCACCAGCACACACGACATCAAAATTAAAAGGAAATTATTAACCATCCTCTCCTTTCTGCAAGTCCTCGCCATACAGAATCTGTTCGGACTTTGCGTTCTATTAATTTTTTCCAGAGCATTCCTTCACTAATGACTCTAAACCATTCTTTGCAAACAAGTTCTGCGGCACATAGTGAATCGGCGTCTAAATACGAGAGAATGCTTTCTGCTACATGGTCTAATCCTTTCTCTGCAAAAAAACAATAACAACAAAATTTTAATCATCATTTTCAATTGTATAAATTGACTGTAAAATTAAATTCTTTCTAAATTCAAATTAGTCCAATTTTTACAAATTCAATCAGTACATTCAGTTCTATTTGTAATGATTTGGTTATTTTTTGCAATCAGTACTAATTTCTACTAATTTCTATTTCAGTATAATTAGCATAATTAGTCAAATTTTACTAATTCAAATTTAGAGAATTCTATAAAAATGAAAAAAAATATTCCCTAATTAAAATAACGAAAAAAAGCATAAAAATAATTTACTTGGCAAAAGGGATATGAAGTCTCGTTGCAACATGGGTTTCAAATAAGCGTTTATGTGACCATGTTGATAGTGACACATTCTCGCTAAAAGTTGCTCCACAAAGTGCACTTGTTCTGGTTCACTCCATCTTTCAAAAAGTTTCATACAAGCTTCTCTCTCTTGACCAAACTGAAAAGAAGTTCCTGTTGGTAATTCTTTCTTTCTGGTCGTGTCATTTAACATTGTCATCGGATTCTGCAAAAATTTTAATACTCATTAGAAATTCATTCAATTCATTCAAAAGTTAAAGTAGAAAAAAAAATTCCAAATAAATAAAGAATAAATAAAAAAAATAGAAAACTAAAAAAAAAAATGGAAAAGAAAATTAAAGAAGGATTCAAGAGACAATAGAAGGAAAAATTAGTCCAACGCCATAATTTCGTACAATTTTTTTTCTAAAGACAAATTAAATTTTTGTTGTAAAGAATTTAATTTTCGATATTTTAAACTTTGAATACAAAAATGCCCCATACCTAAATAATTTTAATTCCTTTTTACCGAAATTTTCCTTATGATCTTTTTTTTCAGTTCCATAATAAAAATTCAATGCGAATGTTCGAAATGAAAAACAGTCGAGTTTTCTCTTATACACACAAAACCACAAGTAACTGAGATGGAAATCTTTTTGCTTCAAGTAACAGAGACTTCCAGCAATCAAAAGGCACAATAGAATATGTATTTCAAGGAGGGCCTGCTTTTTCTCTCTTGAAAGGATTCAAGAATAACAGCTGCTTAACGAACGGTCAAGCCGAACGAGAAAGATACCTATCAGCTTCTAACAAGAAAGTCTATCAATAAAACAATTATTACTTCTTAGTGTGCGTGAAAAGAATAATCAAAGAACCAAAAGTTCCTCCTTTTTCTTCCTCTCGATATTTTGGGGGATCCTTAAAAATCACTTGTAACAGAATTATCTCAGTCTTTCGAAATTTTTTATTCTGAATTAATATTCTACAGAAAAGATTTACTACGAATTATATTTTAGTCAAATTTTCAAATGGATTTGAAAATTTACAAAGAACTTTAAAAAATTTTGAAAACTAGCAAATATTACGCCCGGAACGTGATATTCAATTTATTATTACATATTATGCAAATTACAAAATTTTTTATTTTTAAATATGAATATTTGAATAATTTCAGATTCAAATTTTAAAAAAATTAATTTATTAACTAATTTATTAATTAATTATTCTTGTTTATTAATTTCAAAAAATTTTCGCAAGAATTCAATTAACATTCTTTTCAAGAATTCAATTATTTTTTTTTAAATAGTAAAATCTTTACAAAAATTCAATTTTTTTCAAAAAAAAAATCACGAAAGAATTCAATTATCTTTAAAAAAATTCTACGAAAGAATTCAATTTTTTCCTAAAATTTTAATAAAATTTCATGATAGAATTCAATTTTTAAAAATTTTTTAACAATATTTTTCGAAAAAATTCAATTATTTTCATAAATAATAACATTCTTCTCAAGAATTCAATTATTTTTTTTTTTTGAATAATAATATCTTTACAAAAATTCAATTACTTAAAAAAAAATTTCACGAAAGAATTCAATTTTTTTTTCTAAAATTTCAATAAATTCTTGGAAAAAATTCTATTACATTTTTATAAACAGTAAAATTCTTTGCAAAAATTCAATTATTTTTAATTACAATTTACATAAAGTTTTCATGAAACAATTCAATTTTTTTTAAATTACTTTTTAATAATATTTTTCGAAAATATTCAATTATTTTCGAAAATTTTATGACAAAATACAATTTTAAAAAAATTTTTAATAATATTTTTCGAAAAAATTCAATTATTTTCTATAATTTTGAAAAACTTTTCGAAACAATTCAATTATTCTTTTAAATAGTAAAATCTTTACAAAAATTCAATTATTTTAAAAAAAAAATTCACAAAAGAATTCAAAAAAGTCTATTACATTTTTATAAACAGTAAAATAAATTCTTTCCAAAAATTCAATTATTTTTAATACAATTTAAATAAAATTTCACGAAAGAATTCAATTTTTTTGAACTAATTTTTAATAGTATTTTCCCAAAATATTCAAATATTTTCTAAAATTTTAATAAATTCTTAAAAACAATTTAATTATATTTTTAAATAGTAAAGTTGTTTGCAAAAATTCAATTATACTTTCAAAAAAGTTTCACGAAAGAATTCCATTTTTTCCTTAATTCGTTATAATAGTCTTCAAAAGAATTCAATTAATTTCTAAAATTTTAATAAAATTCAATAATTAAATGTTTAATTTCAATTATTAACCATCACGATTATTTTAAAAACTTGAAAGAAATTGTTAATAAAATTCAATCATTTTTGAAATTTTTATTTAAAATTATTAACCAAACTCCATTAATTAAAAGAAAATCCAAAGAAATTCTTCAAAATTATTTTAAAAATTTGAAAGAAATTGTTCAGAAAATTCAATTATTTTCGAAATTTTAATTTTAAATTATTAAAGCAATTCCATTATGTAAAAAAATTCAAAGAAATTCTTCAAAAAGAATTTAATTAGAATTTTCAAAAATTTTAACAAAACTCTTTGCGAGAAATCAATTATTTTCCTGGATTTCATTTTCCTAAATAATAAAATTCTTCAAAGGAATTCTATTATTATCAAAATTTTTAGATAAATTTCTTTGCAACAATTCGGTGATTTTTAATACATTAATTTTAAAACAGGTTGAAAATATTTTAAAAAGTTAAAAAACAAAAAAGCAAACAACAATAATTGAATTTAAATTATGGAAATAATTTTGAAAAATTTTAGAGTAAATCAGAATTTTATTTAGGTTTAGGAAAAAAATTTAAATTTTGTCTAGAAATCAGGGAAAAATAAATTAAAATTTTTGTGGCAATCCTGATTCTTCTTTTCAAATATATTCATATGCAATTTCTAATTCAAAGAGACAAAAATTCTAAAATTTAAAATTTTACAAAATTACAATTCGCGAAATAAATCTTTTATGTTAAATAATTGTTCGAAGCAAGAAATTTCATAAGTCTGATTATAATTCTGTCGATTCTGTCAAATGATTTCCAAGGTATAATAATCAGACATCCCACATCTTTACTTCTTATCCACTTTTTTTTTGAAAATTTTCACTTTTTTTTTGTTTTTAAATTTTTTTTTTGGAAAAAACAAAAAAAAATTTGTTTTCAAAAACAATGTCAAAGAAGTAATAATAACTGAAGCACTCTCAGAGTTTTACCTACAATGCCACAGAGTTACAAACCGCCCGTCACATGGTGACTTCTCAGTGTAGAACGAGATGAGGGGTTCTTGACCTCAAGCTATATACACTCTTTTGTTTCTTTGTATAGTGGGCGCGTAAATGCAGTTTACTATTTACTTTTCAAAACAGTACATACAATATGCAATTGAGAAACAATAATAATTTATTCTCTCTCGAGACATTTTTCAAAACTTTCCTAAGAATCATTAAACTTATTAGACGTACATTCAACAATTAAGTTTCGAGACAAGAAGAGAATATATCCATTTTGCGAAATGAAATTAAATTATTTGCAAAATTCATAAATTTCAAAACTTCCAGCAAAATTCTAATTTATATTCTAAAAGCTTTGCTTCACGTGTCAAATAACTCATTTCCAAGTTCATAAATAACTCAAATCTGTCAGACACAATTTGTAATTTTTTTTTGTTTCTGTAAATTCTAAAAAAAACAGGTACTATTCTTCTTTTCGCTAAGTACAATGAGAATAAAAAAATTCTGAATTTTGGTGTCATTTTTGTTTGCCTCATAAATTAGGAAATTACCACGAATTCTAATACAGAACATTCAATTTTTCCTGTTTCTGACAAAATTATTTCTTTTTAAACAACTTAATTTTTGAACAACTACCATAAAATTATTTAATTATTTAACTCATAAATTATTTAATGAATAATTTTATTTTACTTAAATGTTTCAAAATTAATTGAATTTTAAAAGAGTTGCGTTTACAATTATCATACTTTGATGAACTTCAAAAGGTTTTAATTTGAAATTTTAGAAAATTTCAATTTTATGAATGAATTTAATTTGAAATTTTAAAGAACTTAGATTTTTGAAAAATTTTAATGATTCAAATTCATCTGAAAGAAATTGAATTTTTGATACAAATGATTGAAAAAATTCAATTATTTACAAAGTATAAAATTCTTCCCAGAAATTCAATTATGTTTAAATAATTAAACAAAATTCTCGTCAAAGTTTCAATTAAATTAAGAAATAATAAAATAAATTCTTCTCAAAAAGTCAATTATTTTCAAAAATTTTGCAAAAAAATATTGGCAAAATTTCAATTATTTTCAAAAAATTCCCTCAATTTAATGATTTTCAATATCTTCTGTTTTAATTAAATTTTCCAAAAGAATTCAATTGTTTAAAAAAAATTTTAATAAAATTCTACGCAAACGCATAAAACTCATCGCAGAATTTCAATTATTTTTTATACAACTTTAATTAATTTTCTGGAAAAAAGTAATTATTTTTAAAAATTTTATTAAAATTCGTCAAAAGAATTCAATTATTTAAAAATTTGTTGATAAAATTCTTTATCAGACTTTAATTTTAAAAAACATATTCAATTATTATTCAATAAATTTTTTATTTTTGTATTTAAATAATTTAATTCTGGTATAGAATTTTTTAATAAAAATTGATTTGAAAATGAATTTTAGTTAAAATTTTAGATAGTTAAAAAGACTAAATGAAAATTGAATTTTGAAGGAGTTACAAATATAATTGCAGAAATTCAATTATTTTCAATAACAATAAAATTCTTCTCAGAAATTTAATTATTTTCAAAAAATTTTAAGAAAATTCTACGCAAACATTTAATTTTTTTTCAAAAATGATAAAAATTTCAACAGGAATTCAATTATTTACAAATTTTTTATAAATTTCTTCACAATAAATCTATTATTTTCATTAATAATAAAATTCTCTTTAGATTTTCATAAATATTAAAACTCATCGCAGAATTTCAACTATTTCAATAAATTATTTTTTTGTATTTATATAATTGAATACTCATAGCATTTTCTAATAAAAATTAAATTAATAATTAATTTCAGTTAAAATTTTAGATTATAATTGAATTATGAATTTAATTTTAGTAAAACACACTTTTAAAAAATTGAATTTTTGAGAAGTTACAAATGATGGCAAA